TGATGGTGTGCCTAAGTATTAGGAAAAATCCTGTGTGGAATGGATGCTGAACTAGCATGGCATTGCTTGGGTATGTCACTGGGATTCATTAAGAGTGGATACTGATTAGAAGTTAGTCTGTTCCTGATTTGCAAGAAAAATGCTGTTTTGTTGCTGCTGGTCTGTATTTGCGAATGAATGCACTCCAAGGGGCAGATTAGAGCCTGCTCCTACCTGTTGGCAAAATACATGAAAAATTACGTATTTCTTGGGCATCTTTTATCCAGCACACGAAAGGGAAGAATAAATGAATGAGAATTGAGATTCAGATACGTGAAAGTATGATAGTAATTCATAATTTATGAAGTACATATGTATAGTCTGACATTCTTAAAAATCAAGATCTATGTGGTACTGCTTATCATTTATGCCACTGGAAAATACATGTCATTTTCGGTAGTTTGGCTATGTAGCTTTGTGATGTCAAACAAACACAAGATCTTGAAAGATCAACGGAAATGTCCATTCTACATTTCATGCAGAATTTTCAAAACTGCTTAACTTCACATAGATTGGAGGCTTATCTCGGCTTTTAAGAAATGGCAGATAAACTCAAGAGCAGAGTCATGGATGATATCTGAAGTAGCCTGGAGATGGAAAAGAGTCTATTCTTAAATAAGTCAGTGGTGGGAATACAATGGATTTGGTACACAATCCAACTGATAGGAATTATTAATAAAAGCCAGTATGGAACTCTGTAAGAAAAGGAAAGCAATGTAATGCTCATAAGAAAGAGAAGACATTTGCAACACATCTTTGGTGTTGTGAATAAGTAGCTACGTACACATGTCAAAATCAACTCTTGGTAGTTAAAGCAGTAGTATTTTCCTTGAGATCTACAGCTAACTTTTCAGAGTGATCCAGGACAATAGGATACAGAGAAACTCCCTTCACAAATAGAACTGTAAAAGTGGCTTACATCAGCATGTATGCTGCACCACTTTTTGTTTCAGAAGATGATTTTTTGTGCGACTTCTTGATAGACTAATGTTATCCTTCTTCCTAGTTCAGTGGCCAGCACATTAAGTAACTGAAGTTCCCAGATCCATTCTGCTTTAATTTTGATATGAATGCTGGCACAAAATAGAGAAATCTGGTTGTGATTTGGAATTTTTTCTAAATCATATGAAACACACATAAGTCAAAAGGCACCTACAGCTCTTTGTTTAGTGTGGTTTTTGGTTGGGTTTTGGTTTTTTTCCAGGGACTAGTGGTTCACAGATTGTTCCCTGTTTTTGAGCCATGATATGTATGGATGATGACAGATCCTTATGTTTCTGTGGTAGCCAAAGGGAAGTCCAGCCACAGAGGCATCCCTTAACTGCATTTTTTCAACCTGCTTCCTCTCTCTAGCATACATTTTGTCACCTATGTAAGTAAATGTGTTTTGTGATTCACTGAAGGGTAAATTATTCTGTCTGCTATCAGGAAACAAATATGTACCTCTAGCAATGTAGGCTAAGCAGGAACTGAAGGCTTCTAAGGATGGAGAAGAGGACAATGTAAAAATTTCTGCCTCCACATGTTCCTGAAAAGGTGGGGCTAAGTAGGTGTATACCTTACAAGTATGTGTTCTTTGGCATTACTGTCCTAGGTGGAGATCTCCCTATAGCAGACACAGTTCTTTTCTAAAGAAATTTATATAGTTTAAGTGGATATGAACATATAGTTGGCCTGCAGATGAACAGGAATATTGGCATCATGCTACTCAGCAGTCATTTCATCCCCCAGTCAACATTTTCATGTGGTATTCTGGCAGGAGGAGGTTTTATGGGGTGAAAAAAAACTTTAATTAAATGTTTATAGTAAGTCTTACCTGGTATCAGGAAATCATGAAAGAAAGCATTGATGTCATTTTGAGTGTGGTCAGGAAGTGAAGGGGTATAATATTAAAGGCAATATAAAGAAGCTATCAATCTTTTGAGTTGTTCACAGTGGTAGTTTGGGTAGGAATAGGCTGAAGTGAGTACTTGATGGTGTTGACAAGTACCATATAGTTGCTGAGGTAGTAAAAGGATGTGTTGTGGGGCCAGGCAAGGAAAGGAGAAGTGGTCTTTGTGGGAGCATTCCAAAAGAAACGCAAAGGTGAATCAGTGCACGGTACTGACAACTAACCAACTCTGGTTAGTCAAACCAGAGAAAAAGGAATGGCCATGTACTCGGAGAACAATGTGTGTCAAGATACTGCACTTCAAGTAGTGTAAGACCAATTGGCCTATAATGTAAAAGCCTGGATTTTTCTAGTCCTACGAATTGTTTCCTAAATATACTCCTTGTGTTTTTTGAATGAGGTGATTCTCTCTGAAGCTTTTCTAGTCAGCAGTATTGTAATTACTTATCTTTACCTTTGAAATCTCTAAATTTGCCACCATTAGATAACTAAAAGAAAAATGCTAGAAAGTCAAACTTTAGTGGAACTGAATCACTGTTAGTTTCTGGTTGAAAGAATCAGCTAGCTTCATCTTGAGCTATAGCTAGTTTTTAATTGGCTCCTAAGAGCTAACGTAATTTTCAGATAGAAATTTTAAGTTCAGAAGAAAAATATGTTAATGCCAAATGTGCTGTATCCCACAAGAGTTCCACAAGCTTGAAAAAGACGGGCTTTCCCACTTGTAAGCAGTTTCTAATCCTTGCCCTATATACTAGTATAAACTGAGATGCTTAATAAAGTTTACACACTCTTACAACATCCACCATACTGATACCCGTATGAGATCAGTAGATATCTTTGATTCATATATGTGATATTTTCTACTTTAAAAGTCATTAAACTGTCCATGTTGTATTTTGGTTCTGCTGTTAACTAGACTAGGGGTTGGCTGGGAAATGGATACTTGGCATAAACAGCTCCTACATGTACTTAAAGCTTTACTTACAAGAGTGGAATAGAGTCAGAAGCTGAGGACAGGGATCAAGTCTGGATAGCACTTCTGGTGACTTTGAAGAGCCTTTGTTCCCAAATTGTTTTTGCAGAAACATGGAAATAGTCTTTGGCAGATACTCTTCTGGAAGTGTAGTAGTTATGAAAGTAGCAGCACTCACAGTAGGGAGAGTGAGGGAAGACATGCAGGACAGCTTTTTCTACATACTGATATTTCATTTAACACCTCAGGCAGTGCTTATCAATGGCAGCTCACCTTCTCTTTTGGAGCACGCATGGTACTGATCTTGTAATACTTCTTTAGGGACAACAATATGAAGTTACTGTGGGTGATGGAAACTACCAGGAGGCTTGGAAACTGCTTTATCCTCTCAGTTCTGAATTTTCCTTTACAGAAAACGACTGAGAAATCTTAAAGAGAAAATGGAGAACATTTGGAGATTAGGAAAGGAGGCCAGAAAATGGGAGACTTGAAAAAGAGCTTGAAGGAATCAAATATGATATAGCATAAACCATGAAGAGAGTGCCTAAGTGGGCCCCGAATTATGATCTGTGAGATGAGAAAGTTGGGCCACTGTGGAAGGAAGTAGAAATTATTTGAAGTTTGTTGGTGTTGTGTAGCACTTGGAGGGACTATTGTTTGTGGTGTTCTGAACTAGTTCTAGGCATTAGAAAGAATAAATTATTTGGCAGAAAGATGCTCCAAATAGATTACTTTTGCCAGGATCCAGTTAGAGCATACATCACTGACTGGCTGATGACTGCATTGCAGGGATCTGCCTTCTCCAGGCAGCATGATCATAGCAAAACTAGGCATCTGATTTTGCCTGGGATAATATTTTGATCATTGTCTAATATGCCACTTAGGTATTATATGTAGGTGAGGTCAAAACCTTGGTCCATCTTGCATAATTTTTGGTTTTTTTGGCCTGAGCATGTAGCCCAGTTTTCAGGCATCTTTCTGGCTTGCTTTTCATGCGCATCTATGCTGTACAGCAGTCTCCAGTTCCTTCCCATTTCAAATTACTTTTTAGCAAGTCCTTAGTAAAATCACTAGCGCTACTGTCAGTACCTTCAGGTCTGTGCTGAAACATGAGATGATGGTGTTAGACTGCTGGGCCTGAAATACTTCTGTATTTTGTGACCTTCTGCTGTTATCTTAGGTTGCTTAACCTGTGCTGGTTCACCTTTAAAACTTGCTTTTCAAAAGGAATGCCTACCTTTCAGCAAAATTCTGCAGAAATAAAACAAATAAGATTGTATATTTTGGGTTTATATATATTTTATATATAAAATTAGCATTCATCTATTTTCTTTTTCTTTTCTCCTGTCTTCTGTTTATAAAATCAGTTTTCAGTTTCAGAAAATCCTTGAAAATATTTAAATAAAACAAAACACACAAACCCTCAAGCAAAACAACAAACCAAAAAATCCGAGGGTTTGGAAACAGGTAGCTGAAAGAAACATGTCCTGTATTAACATACTGAAAATGCCTTGGCATGTCATTTTTTCTAACAGCATTATAATTTTCTAGAATGTAATGGAAGTGAAAGCTGTATAGTTGTTTAAAATAGATGAGCTCCCCTTTTCCACCCACCCACACACACACAATTTTTTGCAGGGAGTAAGAATCCTGGAGTAGGCAGGAAGTAAGTACTGTCACCATCAGTGGCTTCCAGGAGGTGATTGATGTGCATGGTACTGACCATTCTCTTTGTCCTAGCAAAACCACTTAGGCCCATGCTTAACCTAAACCATACTAGAAGTCCCGCTAACATGAAACAAAATGATTAGTATATTTAATACTCTTTTGGCTTATTCTGTGAGTTGTCAGTACTCTTCATGGTCGAATTTGATGTATTTAGTATATTCTTGCAGAACAGGAGTGACCATTAATGCTAACTAACAGTGAACTGTAAAACTTAAGACCAGTTTTCTTTTTTGCGTGGCTGGGAGGGAGAACAAATATGTTGGTATAAACTAGTGAAGCTGATGTAGCTGCATTGGCTAAATTCAGAATTTGGCATGGGGTGGAGATGCAAGTAAAGCTGTATTGTACTTCTGTGGTTTTGATTCACAGAGGTTTGTGCGAACTTAGGTAGCTGGTGCACACATGGGACATCATCAAAGAGCCCAACCAGAAAGTCAGAGCTTGGATTTGGAGTGCCATGCACCTATACATTTAGAAGCATGTTGTTATAGTGAGGCAAGCAAAGCATCTTTTCATTAAAACAGGTAACTACATTTTACTTTCAAAGTTTATTTTTATATATTACAATCTGCAATGTAGTAAATATAACTGCTTTTTAGAGATTGGGTATTTTCATTATTCTTGAATGTTTGTAGTGCTTTCAAAGGACTGGAAGCATCATCCTGTAAATTTCTGAGTTCACACTATCACTACTGGTGGCATAATAATTTTTTTTTTTATAAGCTAGTCTTTTTTTTTTTTTTTTTTTTTTTTTTGGCTGCTCTAGCCCCTCAACCAACACCAAAGTACTTCAAAAAAAAAAAAAAAAAAACCAAACTTGAAAAAAAATTTAGTCCATATCTATTCTTAACTAGTTTTTCCTTAATTTTTAGTGTGTCAGGATTGTCTTTAGTTTAAACAGTCTCTTCCTCCTACTGTTTTCTTCCCCATTCACAGATTGTTTTGCTAGGATAAACAAATCAAACTTTCTTAGGTTCCTGTTACAACATAGCAACTGCATTCCCCTGAACAACACAAAAATTACTTTCTCTACAGCTCTTGTAGTTGAATTTGACTTTTTTTTTTTTTTTAATGTGGTGAAGACAGCTGTATGCTGGAAGTATCACTAAGAAATTAATTGAGAAATAAACCTGGTAATTTGCCTTTTCGTATTTGCATCACACTAGGAGCTCAGATTCCTTAAACAGATGCAATGAAGTCCTGCTTTTTTTCCTCCTGAGTTTAGAGCTGAAGTGTCTGTTACTAGAAGCATGACCTTATGTTTTGTATTATTGAATTTCATCCATTTCTATTAACACAGTCCTTAAGGTTGAGCAGTTCTTTCTACATAATATTCTTATCCTTGTCAGTTTTAACAGTACCTTCCAATTCTATGTCATAAGGAAAATTCGTCAGCATGTTGCCTTGTGCCAAAATAATTAATGAAAATGTTAAGCAAAACCTGTCCCAAAACAGATCACAGAAGAGCATTTTTTGAGCCTGAGCTTCCCTGTACAAAAATCAACTTGCTCCTTAGATTTTCTAACATTTTATCAAATACGTACATGCTGAAACAAAAAAAAATGGCTGTTTTATAGAGCAATTCGACAATCCTTATTTTTGTCAGTTGTCCTCCTGGTGTCATTTGAATAAATCTTGCAGAATCTATGTCATAATCTCCATTCCTAGCTGAAAGAAATCTTTCACTTGAAATGCAGCTCTTTTAGACCAAACGAATAGGTAACAGTTAAAATTAATTTTTTTCCCTAACAAAATAAATACTTTTAAAATGCATTATAATAGCGTGTCACTTTCTCATGCATATCTATTGTTTATATATTTCTATATGAAAGTAATAACTTGTGTTGGAATTTATGAAAATCTTTTGGCAAAACCTATGATTTGTCAGCCTACTGTGTGCTTAATTCAACTGCAGGGTTCTGTTCCTTAATTAGATGAAAGCAAGAAATATGATTATTAATAAGTAAGCATAGTCAGAGAAGCAGTGTGAACAGCATTATTCCCAACAGAAGTGAACCAGTTCTGTAACAGGAGATGGATCTAGGTAACCATCACTTCATCATGTGACAATTGCTGTCCTCATTGGCAGTCTCTCAGAAGAGCATCAGAGAGGGTCACAATTCAATGTCTAAAGTTAGAAATGGTGTAAGGTGGATAGTAACGAGGGCCAGCATACAGCTGCTAAGGTAGACTTCGGAATTGTGCAATTGGCTGCCTTCATACATGAGAATCAATTACTGAAAACCTTTCAAGATGGTCAAAATGTGACACTAAATGATTGAGTATCACATCATAGAATCATAGAATAGTTAGGGTTGGAAAGGACTTTAAGATCATCTAGTTCCAACCCCCCTGCCATGAGCAGGGACACCTCACAGTAAACCATGTCACCCAAGGCTTTGTCCAGCCTGGCCCTGAACACTGCCAGGAATGGAGCATTCACAATTTCCTTGGGCAACCTATTCCAGTGCCTCACCACCCTCACAGTAAAGAACTTCTTCCTTAGATCTAATCTAAACTTCCCCTGTTTTAAGTTTGAACCCACTCCCCTTGCCCTATAACTACAGTCCCTAACGAAGAGTCCCTCCCCAGCATCCTTGTAGGCCCCCTTCAGATACTGGAAATCTGCTGTGAGGTCTCCACGCAGCCTTCTCTTCTTCAGGCTGAACAGCCCCAACTTTCTCAGCCCATCTTCATACGGGAGGTGCTCCAGTCCTCTTGTCATCCTTGTGGCCCTCCTCTGGACTTGTTCCAACAGCTCCATGTCCTTTTTATGTTGAGGACACCAGAACTGTACACAGTACTGCAAATGGGGTTTCACGAGAGCAGAGTAGAGGGGCAGGATCACCTCCTTCAACCTGCTGGTCACGCTTCTTTTGATACAGCCCAGGATACAGTTGGCTTTCTGGGCTGCAAGCACACACTGAAGCCAGCTCATGTTAAGTTTCTCATCAGCCAACACCCCCAAGTCCTTCTCCGCAGGGCTGCTCTGAATCTCTTCTCTGCCCAACCTGTAGCTGTACCTGGGATTGCCCCAACCCAGGTGTAGGACCTTGCACTTGGCTTGGTTGAGCTTCATGAGGTTGGCATCAACCCACCGAACAAGCTTGTCAAAGTCCCTCTGAATGGCATCCCTTCCCTCCAGCATATCAGCTGAACCACACAGCTTGGTGTCGTCAGCAAACTTGCTGAGGGTGCATCAAATCTTGTCTGCAGTTAGTTATCTGGAAAAGTAATTATGCAACAAAATCAAGTAGCTGAAATTAGTGGTGTGAAGCACCCTGGTTATTCAAAGACTGAAGAAGATGATTTTTTGGGGTTTTTTTTTTGACTTGTAACATGAAGTTTTAAGCACCTAATTTTTTATTAAATTAAAAGAGTCTTGCTCAGTTGTAATTCTTGTCTTTAGTCATATCTGCAACAGAAGATCCATTGCACATGAAACATGTTTGATTAAGTTTGTTTTGTCTAAAGTAAAAATGATTAGCTGTAGAGGAGAATGTCTTGCAAGTGCATTAAAAAGCGAATCTGCTTTGTTTAGGGGGGGAAACAGCCTAAATATCATTCTTTTGTCTCTTTTACTAAGTGTGTAAGTTTAATTGGAGAACAGATATGAAGTACTCTAAAGGTCAGATTCATTCTGTTTTAAAAAGCTACAATAAATGTAACAACATAGATGATGTGAAAGGTTAGAAAAGCCATTAAAATATAATTTACACTAATAGAAGTAGTTAGCCTGCATTAGTTAGTTCAAATATTCAAAGTAAGTAAGAAAACGAAGAAAAAAAAAAGGTATATGTATCCTGTGTAACAGACTTTAAGTTTGAACTCTCACATTAATATTGTTTTAACAGCTTATAAATACCGTGAAACGTTTATTTATGCGATCATGATAAGCCTGATTATTTTTAAGTGGCTTCTAGTATTAACTGTTGTCATGTATATACCAGAACTAATAGGAAAATTAATTCTAATCCATAGATCTGTAGAGAGTTCAATCTGTATGTGTATAGTATTTAAAAATCTGAACTGATAAAGAGTAGTTGGTTAGTCATGTTACTTAAGCTGGTCCCAAAATAGCACCTTCCTTTTTTGTTAGAGTTAGGTTTGCAGCTGTTGTCTCTATCTGTTGTCTCTGAAGAAAACTTTAACATTAAGAGTTGCTGACGTCAATTTTTTTCTTTTTTTTACAGCTGATGTGGGCTTTGCCCCTGACAGAAGTTATTTGGTTCTAGCTCTGAGTTTGGAAGAAGTTGGTATATAGATTTTCCCCTAACTTTCAATTGATGTGTTTAGCTTTAGTGGGAGTAATACTATCACTTAAACCATGTTGTCGTCTCAAGGAGTTTTGCTACATCCATATGGAGTGCCAATGATTCTGCCGGCAGCACCATACTTCGCTGGACTTGTTCAGGTAATGCAAGGCCGCTTCCAACAAGCAACTTAACTCTAGTGCACTTAGAGTAATAATTGGAATTTTTATGGTCGAGAAAGCAAACACTTTTAATACAGGCAAAAGCTCTCATGTAGTCAGTGAGAAGACAGTAGGAAATCAAAAAGATGGATCACCCTAATCTGTGTATTGACATCTCTCATGGCTGAATAAATGGTGTAGTTGAGCTATATTTGCTTGTATTGATTTGTCTGCTGTTTAACATTCATGCCTTTGCTTCACGAGGTTGACCACAGGGCAGAGGATTTGCTATCCATTCTAGGTTTCTGAGGGAGTCAGCATTCCCACAGCAGGTCATAAGACAAAGTAACTTACCATTATGTGTTTAGGTTAAGTGTTTTAGCACAGCAAATATGAATAGTGTTAAATATGCATTAATTCATATGTTATGCATCACACTGAATGAAAAAGGGTTTGTGTTTTTGTGTGTATAGAAATTTATCACCTTCACGGAGTATTTATGCACATCATATGAATTCTTTTGATCCCTGAAAGTGTAAGATCTTGCTTCAGGGCAAGAGTTCTGTATTGTAGAAGTTAACTGGCAATTACTAGATTTAGTTGATGTTGTGTTGTCTGTTTTTGATTTTATTTTTATCAGTAAGTGGTACTACTGAATTATCTGCTGCTAGACTTAGGATTTTGAATAGATCTTATAGGTGCTAATTAAACAAAAAGTATTCTGTTGTTTACAATGTTAGAAGACATTAAGAAAGAATTCAAGTACCATTTCCAAACATTGACAAAATTAAAAAAAGTGTATCCTACAAATTGCAGTAGTTATATATTGTGCCTGAACAGGGATGAGACATGTGCACCTGTATTACAGCATTTCTGTGTCACACTAGTGATCAGTCAGATTAAGGGTGGAGGGCAGGTGAATTTTCATTATACTCCTTTGCTACGACTGCTAACTGGCATAGAGGGGCAGTCACACCACAAAACAGGGTTTTTCCCATGTAGGTCCCTTTAGTAATCGAAGACTGAGTTGTGTTTTTCACTTTAGGCTTAATATCAGACGCAGATATCTAAACCAGAAATATAGGATTGCACAGTGGCCGTTATCAGGTATCAAAAAACTGTCTTCTGGGACATGAAAGCTGGTACTTTCTTTTTTTTATTTTTTTTTTAATGCACTGAAACACAGTAGCACACTTGAACACATCAAGTAGGCCTTCATATCCATTAGAATTTGGGGGTGAAGGTCAGATGCTGGAGCTCAGTCAGACTCTGTGCCATCCTGTCCAATAAATAATTACAAGCAAATCGTGCCTTTCACTCCATGCTGATTGATGTTGAAATTGCTTTTGAAAGTTCTCATAAGTTCCTGTTATAGATTAAGTGCCGGTGTAGGAAAAATAACTGCACCCAACTGAAATGGGTGAATGTAATCAGGTTTAATGGACTCGAGAGCTTGTTGGGAATTAAATAACTATTGATTTGTTGGAAAGTTGCTGTCATTACAAAATGCCACTCTGGACGCATTATCCAAGCAGATAGATTAGAAGAAAGGCCCCTTTGAAAATTCAGGATGCCTTATTTCAATCTTTTTTTTTCTTTTCTTTCATTAGAAAGATATATCTAGGCCTATGCTGCTCCATTGGTATAGGTCTGAAATAGTCAAGCAATCAGAATTGTTCTACGAAAAAATAGGTGTGTTTACAGGTACAGTTGAATAGTGTTCTTTGTATGGATACTTCTCTAGTCTCTCCCTCCTCCCTAATGCCATACCTGAAAATTGCATTTTGGGAACAAAAGGTTTGAGTCACTGTCTTAGTGGGTGAACTAGAACATTAAATGTTTTAACCACTTTCTCACCCCAAGTTTTTATCTGCGTTTGCTGTATCTGCAGTCAGCTTATGGTACTAGAATGCTTAGTTTTTGTCTCTTAGATTAAACCTTAGTATCCAAAATAAAAAATGCAAAGGGCACTTTAGAGGCATATTTATATCATCCTCTTGTAAGCTGTAATTACATAATGTTCAGAACTTTACTGGAAATTTTCTTCAAACGTATGCCTTGATAAACTGATAATGCAAATGTTTTTTACTGGGTTGCAGGTTGAGAGCCACAACCCTGAAGTATTTGTGATTACGAGTCAGTTTTAACATCTCAAGAGACTTACAAGATTGCAATTTATTTACATGGATTTCTGCAGAAAGTAGATGTATTTCTGATTAGGGATTTCCCATGATTTCCAATTGGATTTACACCAAGATTGTGTATATAAGATCAGTGTAGAGCACTGCATAGGGATGCGGGGGACATTTTAGGGTTTTTCCGTGTTTTATGTTTCATGGTTGAGCAAGAGGGAGCTCAGATCTCTGTGGAGGACTGCTTGTCTTCAGGAGTTCTTCACCTTCAAGCACTATATGTGATTTTACTTTATGCTCTGTGTGTGCAGCCTTTTCCAGCCTCTCCTCCTAAATCCATCAGTAAAGCCTATCCTACCTCCTCCACTTGCTTTTGTCACACCTGCTTATTATAGAGTACTGGAATGTGTGAAACTTAGAACACACGAAAAAGGTCATATACTGTGGATACATCTCTAGAAACACTTTAGTTAAAGAACCATGTATGTTTTCCAATTGCGTGTGTTACTAAGATCTCGTCTTCCTGAGATCATATGTGTCGTGGTTTAAGTACAGCCGGTAACTAAGAACCATGCAGCCGCTCACTCACTCCCCACATTCTTCTACCCACCGGCTCCCAGAGGGATGGGGACAAGAATTGGAAGAATGTAAATCCCACAGGTTGAGATAAGAACGTTCCAGTAACTACAGTATAATACAAAACTACTATTGCTACCAATAATAATAACAGTAATGATACGGGAAATAACAAGGGGAGAGAATATAAAACTAAAAGGGGAAAAGGAAAAGTAAAAATAAGCACAAGTGATGCACGATACAATTGCTCAACTCCTGCTGACTGATACCCTGCCCAACCCCAGCAGTGATCTGGGCCTTCCGCATAACTCCCCCCAGTTTATATACTGGTCATGACGTGCTGTGGTATGGAATACCCCTTTGGCCAGTTTGGGTCTGGTGTCCTGTCTCTGCTTCTTGCTGGCTTCCCATGCCCCTCCTCCTTGGCAGAGCAGGAGACTGATAAAGTCCTCAATCAGAGTAAACGATTACTTAGGAACAACTAAAAAAAATGGTGTGTTATCAGCATTGTTCTCAGGCTAAAGTCAAAAACACAGCACTGCCCCAGCTAATAAGGAGAAAAATGGCTGCTACACCTGAACCCAGGACAGTATGTTTGAGAGAGATGATGAAAAATTGAATGCACGTGTTCTTGAAGAGAGAGGAGGTAGCTGTTCAGAATTACAGACACGTCAAAATGTATCAAATTATATTAAATATACTTGCAAACTTAGTTTTATTTTCCAGTAAATAAATACACCTTTAAAAAACTTATTAGAATGATAGTATTATTATTGCCTCTGATTTCTTAATACATTTTTGATGAGAAAAATGAAGTATCTTCTCCCTTCTGGGTGAAACTGTAGGAGGAAAAAATCACATGAAAGTACAAATGATGCATAAATAGCATTATGCCTCGTGTGGGTGGAGAGATGTTTTCTGACTTGGCACAAAAGATGTGCTGGTGGCTTCGCAGGCTGTCACAATTACGCTGCCACGAGGACCAAGGCAGGTACTGCAGTCCAGCAACTGCATGTGCTGTGGGCAGCAAGGCCTTGGTGTCAAAGCTATCATGCTGTTTCTCTTGGCGGGTGAGTTAAAAAAAATGCCGTAGGGAATTAGGTGTCAATCCAGTAAAAGACTTCTTACCCTGCCCTTGGTTCATAGCCCAGTTTTGTCATTTGATTCCAATGGGGGAACCCTTATGTCCTGATAAGAAGTTGGTAGGGTGTGACGTGAAGAAAATCCATCTGCATTGGCCAGGGTATTGGACCATTGTCCTGCTGCCCAGAGTTGTGGCTGTATGCTACTACACTGTCTTACATATCTTTACAATAAACAAGTGAAATGAAGCTCTCTTTATTGTTAAAGTACAGCAGCAAATAAAACTTTAACATTTCGTAAGAGTAGTATGTTTTGTAGACTAATAAGTTAAATGTCTCCATATTAGATTCATCTTTCTAGGCTTTGGAGTGGTTTAGGTATATAAATCCTTTGCAATTACTTTGGATACATGGAGTATTAGAATTATGATAAAATATTTTAAAAATACAAATACCATATCTGATATCTAGTTCTGGTTGCTGAAGTATTTATCACATGGCTGGTCTAGGTGGCTCAATTTCCATTTAGCAGAGAAAGAACAGTTCACATGCATTATTATAAATATTACTAAAGTGGAAATTACTTAGAGTTTTTGGTAAACTAGTGTAAAATTCTAAATAGAGAGACAATTCTGTATCATACAAAATGAGCTACTTAAATTTCAGAAGTAAAAAGATGTCGGTTTGTTGTTTTGGTTTTTTTTAAATATGGTCAGTTTTTTTTAAAGTGTGATTTTATTTTGGCATAGTGACCAAAAAAGCTTTAAGAGTTCCGAGGGTTTAAGCTTATGCTCATTGTTAAAGACTTCACTTAGCTGAGTTAAACCCTTTTCTTCTCCTTTCATTTGCTGATTTATTATTTATAACTACATAATTAATGAACTTAAATTCTATATATTTTTTAATTATATCTGTGCATCTGATTTTCTATAACTGGTTAACTAGTGTGTTTGACTGACAACTGGAAAAGTGGTAATCTGGAGACGGTTCCATTTTATTTTAAGGCTGAGAGAATTGCCTAGAATATGCTGTGAAAAGTAGTGGTGCAGACTTCTTCACAGTTCCATCTTTACCCGTCTGTAAAATCCTTATTTTAGTGCTGTATTGGGAAGTGCTAGCAGTGAATACATTGAGAATACTTGGAGATGCTACTGTATTAAACAAATTCATGCTTACTTTCTGGTAGACTAGTTTTAGAAAATGTTGTGGA